TTGGTGGCCACAATTGATTACTCTTTCAGGTCTATGGCCGTCCGTCTACTGAAAGTCTACGATAAGTGGGAACGAAGAAAGAAAAGGTTTCAAATAGTGTATTGTAATCACTTTTCTGTAAGCTATGTTTGTCCACTATTAATGTCTAATACAAAGGATAAATATCTTTTAGGATAAGAAAAGGTTTGTTCATCCACATTATACACATATGACAAATCAGTGTAGGGTTAGAATAATGGAGCGTAGTTTTAGAGTATTCTAAAATATAAAAAATGGTTTTTTGTAGTAAATCGATCCTCTACGTCATTCTATACAGTTAGAATTGTTGTGATTCGGGATTGTATCCTATAGTTAGTGATCAAACAACTCTTCAAAGTTTTTTGCTTCATGTGAATAGGTGTTTACATAAGAAGCATTGGTGACTTAAACATCTCTATTTGGTTACATTTGGTTATGTGTAAGCGGTAAAAAAAAAAAAGGTTTAACAAAATAAAGGTAGAAAGTCATAATCGAAAATAGGAAAATTATAAAAAAACTATAGAGAAAAATAAATGTTGAAAAAAAAATCGGAATGGCTATATAAAACTTGCAATAAAGATTAGGATGTGAATATTCCTTTAGAAAAGATATTACTATAAAAAGTTTTGACTTGATGCTTAAAAGTTAAGGACATAAGTGTCTAACACATGTATAAGGTGCGCATTTAGCATGGAAGGAGTGTGGATTTAACCCCTCACTAAAATAAATTGATTTAATCGAGAGGATAGTAGTCTAGGATTGTTAACACTCTAAATTATCTAACACTCATGATAATTTAGAGGAAAAATCCTATACCAAACGACAATGACTTAGTCGATAGAAACAAACTAATAAATAATCCAATTTCTTGATTTTAGAGATTTTCATATTTGTATCTATCACTTATAAATGTCGTAATCTTGAATTGATTTTTGTAGGTGAACTCTATTTAGAGAGGGTTGGTATTTTTGCTATTTCATTTTATTTTGTTGTTCCCTACATACCCTGACCGTGACTTCTTGTTCCCTGCACTAGATTTTGTTGAAGTAAATTACACTCTGACAAATACTTTGGGATGAGATCACTCGCTTTGCTTTGTTTTGGTCTTTCGCCTCCCTTTCTACTCATTGGGTTTAGGAGAAGCAGCAAAGAAATTTTCAGACCCTCAACGCCTTAAAAAAGGTTAAACTCTTGAAATTAGAGAGAGCCTCTTAAATTTTTCTCAAAGTTTTTCTAACCCCTCATTTAGGTCGTCAATATTAACTAATCTGAATACTTTCACAATTTCAATATTCGTGGGCCACAATTTATTATTCTTTCAGGCCTACAACAATCAGTCAGTCTAAAGCTAGCATTTTAGTGCATTGCATGTCTGGTCTGCAAGGACTCGAAGACCTTTGGTGTCTTGGTAAAAATACTCGGGAGATGGACAGAGATAGAAAAGGTTTCAAATCGTAAATTACAGTAACCGCTTTTCTTTGGACTATATTTGTTCACTATTAATATCTATCACAAAGGATAAATATCTTTTAGGACAGGACAAAATTTGATTGTCTACAATATACACTATGACAAATCGATTTGAACAATAGAGCATAGTTTTAGAATATTTTAAAATATGAAGAATAATTTTTCCGTAGTAGATCAATCCTCTACGTGATATTGTACAATTAGAATCGTATCTTATAGTCAATCATCAAACAATTTTAAATGGTGGTGAAATATTGTATCTTATAGAAACATTGTAAATTCGAGGCATCATTTGGTGGTAAAATAGCCACTCGAATCATAAAAGGTGCCGAAACAAGTTTAAAGAATTTTAACTGTTATCAAGGATCCAACCGTGGATCCAAAGTCAGATCAAATCAAAAGAAACTTCTCAATTCTCAAGAGTGAGTTCGGTCCTGGGATCTGGCTCGAAGCAAATCACATCCCGCGTCAAATTTAGTAGGAAAATTTTCCTTACTTCTCAGAACAGGATCCGGGCCCGAGATCTGATTTGAAGCAAATGCCAGATCTTTGAGTAGATCTAATTTTCTTGGTATCTCATTCATGGGCATCCCATCATCTCCTAATGTTTCAGGGTAATTTTCGTACAATTGATTCCCATCTTCTATCCCTTGGTGCCCTTATCGTCACAAGTACAAGTGCGTTTGATAAAACTAAAATCTGAAATTTGAAATTTGATTTCATTAAATTATTAAATTTTTAAGTATTAAATTTAATACATTTGAGTATATATCACATTCAATGATAAGTGAATAGTTTATCACTTAATTTTGGGAGCAAATTTTGCCTAGAAAATTTAGTGCCATTCAATTAATTCAGATATTCAATTTTTTGTTATCAAACAGTCTGAATATATTAAGATTTGAATCTATCAAGTTTAAGTGCTGAACTGGATTATCAAACAGGATCTAAGATTTTATATGGCAGCAAAATCAAGATTCAAAAGAAGGCATGATTAATAGAGGAAAGAGTATGCCTTTGTAATAAAGTACAATTTATTGTATAATGTACACATTATGGAAGCATAAGATCCAAACATAATACGGAAGCATAATGATGTTCAAATAGAATGAAGCAAATTGACTATCTTTCAAAACATCCAGTTCCTATAAAGTTATATTTTTAAACTCGGACCGGACCTGTCGCTAGCCATGTATCCAATCCGAGCTATACTAAAAAATCGGAGGGATAAAGACTCGGTCAAAATTGAGTTTGACCAGATTTGATGAAAAAACCGCCGATTTGTGTCATAGTTTTTTTAAAGGTCAAAACATTTTCAATATTATGTTTTGACCTCTAGTTTGTTAAGAATTATTAATATAGCTCAAATATTTCATACTTTATAAATGTTGCCCTAAAGTTGGTGTTATTTTTCAATCAAATCCATAATTTTAATTCTAAACTCGTTAATGTTCATTGAATAATATAAATTGCTACTTGATCATTCTAATTTCTTTATATTTTCTTGTTAAATATATTTGAAACATCAAATATATATGAATATACTTCATTAATACTAACATGCTCTTAAGTATTTTATATATAATATTTTAATTTTTAAATAATTTTATTTATGATGTCATCTGATTCAACCCCGATCAAAGCCATTGATCCCCGACCCCTGAGCTCGACCGAGTCGATACCCGGTCCGAGTTTGAAAATATAGCTATAAAAAAAGACTATAGAAATACGTTGGAGTCATCCATTCAATTTTCCAAATAAAAAGCAAGAGGCGTCTTCATGATCAACTCACCAACTACCAACTTCAGCTCGGAGATTCAGACCAACAAACAAACAGCTGCAAATCAAGATTTTATGCATTAGTACGTGCAAGAAGACGTCCTTTTCCATGCTAGTGAGCACAACACATAACTTTTGTTTCGTTTTCTTTTTTCTTTTGGCTAAAATAGATTTTGAATAAAAGAATGAGTTAGCTTATAAGACACTATCAAGAATGAAATTGCTTTTCTAAAATATAGAAGAAATGAACTACCAACTTGTGAACCGTATTAAATTCTTATATGTAGCTGTGGCCATCAAGATTCAAGAAATTTTTTTTTTTTTTTTTTGATATGTCCTGAGACCAAGAAAACCATCGTAAATAACACATGGACCCCTTGGGCCTTTGGGCTCTTTGCCAACGGCCCAGTTAGCAGACTTACTAAATTGGGCAAACTATACTAATACCCGCTAATACCCGCTGAACGTTTTGAACAAATTTCTTATTTTGTTCACTTGATTTTTTTTTTTTTACCCAATTCGATTTGATCATTTAGCCTAGCTTAGATGCCTCATCTTTCCCATTCGTCTAATGTCTGCCTTTATCTCACTGATTAAAAGGTCCCAGATTTAATACGATATCTTATCCAGAGACATTTTCATCTATTGTCTTCGTCCGGTTAAGCCATTTACATATAGAAATGTGTTAAATTTTGTATTATTTAATTAATAGTTATTAGATTTTAAGAAAATAAAAAAGAATAAAAATGTGATGTTATGAAGGAGAAAAAAATAATATGATAAAAAGTGAAACAGAAAGTAGTACAAAAGATCCGTCGTGCGTATCAATGAAATTGAATAAAATGGGCAAAATGAGGCGTTTACTATTATTGCATAACCTTTTTGAGCACCCCCAACAAAATAGGAATAAAAAATAAAAAAGATTAGTACATACAGACTGATTATGCAGGTGATGATGCATATCATTATCATGTAATTTAATACTAAATGATTTTTTTTTATGACCACCTTAACTTGATCGGGCAATGTATGGATGTGCTAGCAAGGGATCATATGGCTTTATTGTGCAATTGATTCCTGCCTTCTACCCCCTTTATGTCGTCCACATTGTGACTAAGATTTCATATGATTGCAAAATCAACATTCAACATTGCAAAATCAATATTATTGAAACATAAGATTTATTGTAGAATGCAGGAGTAAAAAGATGTTCAAGCAGAATTGAGCCAATTGACCATCTTTCAAAACATCCAGCTCCTAGAAAGAAAGCCAAAGGTGTCTTCTTTATCTGCTCACACAACTGGCAACTTCAGCTCGGAGATTCAAACCAACAAACAGCTGCAAATCCAGATTTTATGCATTAATACCTGCAAGAAGACATCGGGTGTGTTTGGATTAAGAAGATTTGAAGTAAAATAATTTACTTCACAAATTCCAACCACTTTTTTATCCTCCCAATCATCTTTTTATTTCATATATATCACGTTACAAAAACTGTTATAGTAATTATCTCAAACAAATCATCCAAATAAACTCTTATCCAAACAAACTCATCATTTTCCACGCTAGTGAGCACAACACATAACATTTTTTTTTTTTTTTGGCTAAAATAGATTGTGAATAGTAGAACTGAGTTAGCTTGCAAGACTGGTCAAGAAAAAAAAATCGTTTATCTAAAAGAAAATTTGAACCACAATTTGTGACTATTAAATTCTCACGTATATCTGTAGCTATTAAACTTCAAGATTTGCTTGATGTAACCTGACACCAAGAAAAACATCCTTAATGAGATGTAATTTGCGGACAACTTCATCCATGTGCATCCGATCATTTGGCAATCTTTGTGAGCATTTGAGGCCGAGTTTTAACAGGGAAATAATACACTCCGTCTCTCTTCCACCATTGATATTTTCCCTTCCAGGAGTCATTCTTCTGTTTCCATCTCCTGCTTTAGAAAGAATCAAGGGATCCACGATCTCACAAACTTGTTCAGACAGATCCCTATTAACATAGTTATGTATATCTAGTTCATCCATAAACATATCATCTGTTGGCCTCCTCCTAGTGATCATCTCTAGCAAAAGAATACCACAGCTATAGACATCTCCTAGAGTTGATGCAACAAGACCCATTCCGTACTCTGAATTTTTGCTTTTAGATATATTATGTTACTTTGTACAAGAAAAACTTAAGAAAATAGAGAAAATTATCTAAGGATGATAAACTGAATCAATTGTTTAGATTGGGGTAGATTAAGCATAGCTACAAAGTACTGGTTCATAAATGAGACTTAGTTGAAATTGTTAGAAGGTGAATCACTACAAGCCTCGGCTCAATTGCTCATTGTCCCCTTAAAATTGTTTTATCAATAAGTAACTCCAATACATAATATATCATCCAAGAATATGACAAAAATCATTTGCAATTTTTTTTACTTTAAGTACACAAATTTATTTGCTATTTCTCATCTTCTTTTTGTTTTTTGCTTGCTTTTTAAAAAAAATTTTCTTCTCCTTATGGACATGCCACCTTTTCTTTGCCATTTGTTTCAATGATATGTAATTATGTATATTTTTTCTTGTTATTATTTAATATTAGTCTCAATTTGCATATTAAAGTAGGTGACTGAAAATTGTGGTATGTTATTTCAAATTATGCTTTAACATAAAAGCTCTGTGTATATTTTCAGTGTTATCACATAGAAAAATGATATCAAACAAATCATAGAACTTGGATGAAAGAGTTTCAAAATTTTTTTTCTTAAATTTATGAAGAGGAATCTAACAAAACGGAATGTACCAGTACAGCTAATTTGATGGAGGAGTGGGTTGGGTGAACGAGAAAATGTAAGTGAGAGATTCTGGGTTTAAAAAAAAAAACCTATAATTTGAGAGTTTGATTAGTCTGCGCACAATTAAGTAAAATTTATATTACCTGGGGCTGCGCGGCCGATTGTTCCTTTTATAGCTATTATACTGCTGGTTCCTTGCTCGGAAGATCTGTTGATGGGTTTTGGGAGAAGCCTTGCCAATCCAAAATCACCCACACGTGCAACAAGATCATTTTCAAGAAGAATGTTACTTGGTTTTAGATCACAGTGAACAATCTCAGCTTCGCAGTGGTTGTGAAGGTACTGCAAAGCTGAAGCTACATCAATTGCAATGTTCAGCTTCTGAGAAAGATTGAGACTTCTTGAGCTTGTTGCCTGATCAGTTGTCTTTCTCTTTCTCTGACAGGTGCCGAACCTGTACAATAATTAATACCTACTCGAGAAAAATACAGATTTTGTATATAGCGGTGAGTAGGGTCGAATCCACAGGGACTGGGGATAATTTGTTTCTTCTAGAGTCCAAAGTATGGGGGGTTTTGGATTAAATGCTAACTAAATAAATTAACTGCAGAAAATAATTAATTAAAAGAAATGATTGGGGAAACTCTAGCCAAGGGTACACATCAGAAATGGTTCATACACTGATCATTGATGCAGAAATAATTCCAACATTTATTAATAGATTAGTTATAGTTGTCATGCACGCGATAAACAACCAACCCTTCCTTAATTTCTCGATAGCTAAGGTACGACCGTTAGCTATTTCTCTAATTCAAAAATAACCCTAGGTACGACCGTAGGATTTAATTTTTAAATTGCATTAATAATTAGAAAGGCCCAATCCTAACCAACAAACACGCTACGAGGGTTTGTTTAAATTAGATCATATGCTCCTCTGACATAAACCCAATTACGCCAGTTGCTACTGAGGTAGAGATAACGAACAATTACGGATTCAATTACCCCTATTTAGCAAAAATAGCCTATATGAATAATTAATTATTGCGCACTAATCAATCATACACAAGGCCATAGCAATTAAAATCAAGGAACATATAAATACCAATAAATGAAGAAAATAATTAAAACAGATTCGATCTCACAGTAATTGTCGAACCAAATCGTCAGTTGCCCCCTTGACTAGAAAAGCTTAACCACGCCTCATGAGAAAATCTAGAGCCCTAGATATCAGAGGCCAGTCCAAAGAAAGAAAACTAGAACTAAACTAAAAAACTAAAACTAAAGCCCTAGATATCTTTTGCTTTTGTACGTTGTCCCCTTTTAAAGCAACAAAAGAAAGATGACTAAAAGCTATCTAGGTGGTCCCCATACATGTGGACAAAGCCTCCCAAGTACTTCTTGTTCCAAGTCTCTCTACGTTGCTTTCTTTGAAGCCCAAATGACCAAATGCCTTTCACTAGCTTGTGGTCCCCCACCAATTCAAGGGCCCAAGGATTGAAACCTTTAGAAGTCTCCATATTTTTCACAAAGTCCCTCCTTTTTGGTAGTTTTCTGCTTCATTCCTGAAATTGATTCCAAATACCAAATATGAGTAAATATCAGCAATTAACACAATATTTGTCAGGGATAGAAGGGAAAATTAATAATAAAAATACTAACAAATTATACCCTATCAATTCCCCCCACACCTGAATCATGCTTGCCCTCAAGCATGGGAACAGTAAACAGATACCGAAATTTGATAACGGCTGTTGCTCTATCTACCATATTGCCAAGATATCAAGAAAAATATATATCAAGCATCAGTGATCAAGATCCAAGAAACATCACTCCGGTTAGCTTCTAAACCACAAGATCCTCTAATTTCATGTTAACTAATCTAAGAAGAAGGAATGACGCATAACATTTATCAGCAAATGGTCCAACTATTAACCATAATCTCAACATTAAATCCATAAATAGGCAAGCTGACTTTTATTATACACTAACACAACTTTCTTTTTTTTCTTTTTTTTTTTACATTTTTCTACTTTTCTCTCTCTTTTTTTTTTATTCTCTTTTTTTCAATAGTAACAAGACTTAGTCGCTAGCCATTAGAGCCTTTTGACGCGAACTCCAACATTGGCCAGATGAAGGAGCCCGGTTACTCAGCTTCTATCGCCACGTGACCACGTACTCATAGGAACTACTACCTTTTGACGCGAGAATCAACACTTGTAGGTGCAGATCCCCGGTTACTCAGTAGTAACTAATAGCGGAGTACAGTCAAGTTTATTCATAGCTAAAAATCACAAAAACTCAATATAACACAAGAACCAAAAGAAAACTTGCATCAGCTAACCTCATTTTCAAACATGGAGAACTAAAGTTAATAACCGGACCAATTCACATGAAAATGCCAATAATCATTCCCTATGCCTAAGAAAGTTAACCAAAAATTATAAGAGTAAAACAATCATTGATATTCACCCAAGAGATGTTTTTGGATTACCACATTAACTTGGTACCCCTTTATTATTAAAACTTGGCAAAAGTAGAAATAAAAGCAATAATCCAACATCAAACCTTGGCATGCACTTACGAGCCAATCACTAAAAAGAAGAAAAAATGAACGAGAGGTGGACAAATAACAAACTAAAAATAAAAAACTAGTATAGCTGTCCCCCCCACACCTAGATTCTACATTGTCCTCAATGGAGGAATTAAAGCAATTAAAGTGAAGAGGACAACGAAACTTCCCTCTTTGAGTGGCAACGAGGTAGGCGGGGACGGTGGAGGAAACCAATGTGGTGGAAGTACGCGCCCAAGTTCTGAGACATCATACTCAATTCAACCAGCAAATGCAAAACTCTTTCCCGCGAACGTGACGCGGGCACGTCAAGAGAGCAAGAGAGCTCCCAGAAGTTTCTGGTCGTGAGCTTCCTGCACATCACCACGCGGGCGCGTCATGAGGGCAAGAGAGCTCCCAGAAGTTTCTGATCGTGAGCTTCATGCACGTCACCACGCGGGCGCGTCATGACTGAAGGGCACCTATAAATCAGCAAAAACGAAAATTGAAACCCAAAATCAGTCGAATTCAAGGAGAGCACATATAAACTGCCACACGAAAATGAACAAACAATTAAAAGGAACAATTGGGTTGCCTCCCAAGGAGCGCCTTTCTTTAATGTCTTTGGCTAGACATTATCATGTTTTGCTCATGGAGAATAAAATCTTGTGGCTCGTCTTACTGCTTCATCCTCTATATAGTCCTGATAACCCTCATAAATAGAATAATCCTTGAGCATACGAGCTACGGGCTTCCATGGACTAGTGAATGGCGCTAAACAAGTCAACAATAATCTGCATTCTCCACTCACTTCTCCATCACTCGCATTCTTCGGTTCAAGATATTTTTCCATTGCCACTCTTAACTTATTCCTGTCATGAAATTTCAAATTTTCTGGTATAATAAAATCAATTTCAGTAACAGGAATTGAAGAATAGGAGTCAGGAAAATATTGATTAAGGAGTGGAGAAGATGTCACCGCATTTGGAGATTGTTCACTGGATTCATTCACTTGAATGGGTTGCGGTTGGGGTTCCATTTCTTCCTTTTCGGCTTCTTTTTCAACTGCATCTGTAGATCTCTCATTTTGACACTCTTGCATCTCCTCATCACTAGTCAAGCAAATTGCACTCTCATTTTCTTCTAGATCAACAATGGTTTTCGAGGGCAATTCTTCCATTTGAGAAGCCCATCGATTCATTCTGGATGTTAATAGGCATAGTTGATCTGCCAGATAACTCATTGCATCTTTCGTCATCTCATTCCTCATTTGTGTCTCCTGTTGGAATTTGTATGTATTAATAAATAATTCACCCAATTCCTGAAAAGACATACCTGACATGGATGATGGTTGTTGAGACTCTTGCTGTTGAAAATCCATTGGCCCTGTTGTATAATCATAACTGGAGTTATCCCACCATCCTTGATCATACCCGTTTGGATTAGGGTTATACCACGTTTGAGACCAGGGTGAAAAATCTCCATAATTTTTGAGTGGGACACTCAGATTATCCTGATATTCGGGGCACATACCGGTTGAATGATCCCTGGCATAACAAATTTTACAGGTTGCAGCAGCCATTCTTTTTCTAATAGATTTTAGTGCCTCTGCATATGCAAACTCAGGAAAAAAACAAATCTCATCGCCTTGCCCGGAAATAAAATCCAATACATCACCAAAATACGGAGTGTTAGAAGCCATAAACTATATCAAAAAAAAATAAGAAAAAAAAAATAAATAAAAAAATGAAAACAAAATGAATTCAAAAGGAAACAAATTAATCTGACACCAGTCCCCGGCAACGGCGCCAAAAATTGACAGGTGCCGAACCTGTACAATAATAAATACCTACTCGAGAAAAATACAGATTTTGTATATAGCGGTGAGTAGGGTCGAATCCACAGGGATTGGGGATAATTTGTTTCTTCTAGAGTCCAAAGTATGGGGGGTTTTGGATTAAATGCTAACTAAATAAATTAACTGCAGAAAATAATTAATTAAAAGAAATGATTGGGGAAACTCTAGCCAAGGGTACACATCAGAAATGGTTCATACACTGATCATTGATGCAGAAATAATTCCAACATTTATTAATAGATTAGTTATAGTTGTCATGCACGCGATAAACAACCAACCCTTCCTTAATTTCTCGATAGCTAAGGTACGACCGTTAGCTATTTCTCTAATTCAAAAATAACCCTAGGTACGACCGTAGGATTTAATTTCTAGATTGCATTAATAATTAGAAAGGCCCAATCCTAACCAACAAACACGCTACGAGGGTTTGTTTAAATTAGATCATATGCTCCCCTGACATAAACCCAATTACGCCAGTTGCTACTGAGGTAGAGATAACGAACAATTACGGATTCAATTACCCCTATTTAGCAAAAATAGCCTATATGAATAATTAATTATTGCGCACTAATCAATCATACACAAGGCCATAGCAATTAAAATCAAGGAACATATAAATACCAATAAATGAAGAAAATAATTAAAACAGATTCGATCTCACAGTATATTACCTCCAAATTTATCACAACTGCACATACCGGTAGTCCATGTCCTCCACACCAAAATCCAAATAAATGAGAAACCACCCCATCCAGCTCATTCTTGTCCAATAATTCCTTCATAGCATCTAAAAGCACAATCTGGACACATGTTTGCACCAACCTAAACACCCTATCCTCCACCTCCATTCGTTTCCCTTCCGTCCTCAATGTGATTGCCATCCCTGAATCATCTTCTGAATCATACCCAGCTGTTTCTCAATATTCCCTCACAACACATCAAAAACCTCTGCATTTTCCAAAATTGTTTGCAAAATTTTGGTGAGACCAGAGCACTGAGTCGAAGTGGCCACCTTTGGCTACAATTGTTTGCCAAATTGATCCGGCAAGCTCCGGGCTTCGGACTCTGAGACTACGTAAAGTCGCCCGAAATGGCTCGAATTGGGCTAAAAAGAGATGGTTTGCTGTGAGTTTACAGAGGAACTCTGTTTCTTTGTCTTCCATGGATAATCTATGGAGAGATTAACAGGTATTGATGCATACATACAGCTTCGGTAAATGTCTGGGTTTCCGTCCAAAAAGGACCGCCGGAGGGGAGTTGAGATCGGTTAATATATAGTTGAAGAAATATGAGGGGGAGAGTTGGATGCTGGGATTATTATACTAGCAAAGATGAGTTAAGCTGGGGATGCAGGAAAGCAAGAACGAAGGGGAGCAAGAAGGGTTAATTTCATTTTGCACCCTTTAAACTTCAATTTTAGAAATGAAACACTCTACTCCCTGAATTATAAATTTCGTCCCATTTCAATGCAATTCTTAGACGGAACGCGAAAGAAAACTGATACTACTAGAATAATAATTATCACATTCCGTTAACCTATGAGTGGAACTGAAATGAAACAAAATTTTTTGGGGATAAAAATGTAAATTCATGAGACCCAAAAGAACAAAAAAAAATCCTCTCAATCCAATGATGATTCTTTTGTTGTACCTTCGTCTGCTCGTTCTTGTTCGTCTTAATTTAATGATCCCTTCTCCTTGTTCTACTCCTCACCAGCCCCCCCAATAATCTAACTCTCTCACCTTTCCAACTCAATTTTTAATCTCCAAAAATGTAAGAACAAAGGAAGAAAAAGAAAATTTGTTTGATTTTTAATGGTTTTTAAGGGTTTATGAATTGACATTTATGTCCCAATACATCTGGTTAATTTTACTTAACGGAATTATTTTGTTAATTTTGAGCATTCCATGAAGTATGTTAAAATTTTGAGCATTCTGTTAAAGTGATAAGTACAATTGATCCTCACATTTTATCCCCTTATGTTGTTCTCATGGTAACTGAAATTTCATATAGAAAATGGGAGCAAGACTATGCATTGTCAGTATAATGTATTGTATTTTATGCAAGCACAAGATCCAAGCACAATATGGAAGCATTAAGATGTTCAAGCAGAATTGAACCAAGAACATCTAATTCTTATAAAGAAAGACTATAGGAATATGTTTGAATCATCCATTTATTTTTATTTTCAAATAAAAAGCCAAAGGTGTCTTTTTCATTAGCTCACCCCATTAACAACTTCAGCTTGGAGATTCGGACCTGTAACCAGCTGCAAATCAAGATTTCATGCATTAGTATGAGAAGCCATCTTTTTCCATGCTTGTAAGCACAACACATAGATTTTGCCTTTCTTTTTTTTTTTTTTGGGTTTGGATTGGAATAGATTTTGACTGGTAGAACGAGTTAGCTTGCAAGCCTAGGTCAAGAATAAAATTCTTTACCTAATATAGAAAAAATGGACTTCAACTTGGGGGCTGTGTTAAATTCTTGTGTATACCTGTAGATATTAAGCTTCAAGATTTTCTTGATGCACCCTGACACCAAGGAAAACATCCTTAATGAGATGTAATTTTCTGACTACTTCATTCATATGCATCCTATCATTTGGTAATCTTGCAGAGCACATAAGTCCAATTTTCAGCAGGGAAATAATGCACTCCATCTCTTTCCCACCATTGCTATTTTTCCCTCCAGGAGTCATATTTCTGTTTTCATCTCCTTCAAGAAAAAGCAACGGGTCCGCTATCTCAGAAACTCGTTCATGCAAAGCCCCATTAACATAGTTATGTAGATCAAGATCACCCACGAATGTATCATCTGTTGGCCTCCTTCCTGTAATCATCTCTAACAAAAGAATACCGTAGCTGTAGACATCCCCCTGAGTTGATGCCGCAAGACCCATTCCATACTCTGAGATTTTGTTTCGAGACATATTATTATTGGGTAGTAAAAGAAAAACTATATAAAAGAAATAATTGATTAAAATTAATCAAATGTTAGATTGGGGCATAATGGACCTCCTTTTAGAACAAAATGACTTTAATTCAAATTAGCTACTATGCATCGGTGATTAGAGATCTCATAGTAATTATAATAAAAAAATTAAAAAGAATTAAATGTCCCAAAGTTCTATATTTCTGCGCACAATTAAGTAAATTCTTGACCATAAAAATTTGTGTTACCTGAGGCTGCGTAGTCGATTGTTCCTTTTATAGCAATAGTACTGCTGCCTTCTTGCTCGGAAGATCTGTTGACGGGTTTCGGGAGAAGCCTTGCCAATCCAAAATCTACCACATGAGCAACAAGATCATTGTCAAGAAAAATGTTACTTGGTTTTAGATCACAGTGAACAATCTCAGCTTCGCAGTGGTTCTGAAGAAACTGCAATGCAGAAGCCACATCAATTGCAATGTTCAGCTTCTGAGAAAGATTAAGACTTCTTGAGCTTGTTGCCTGATCAGTTGTCTCTGAAGGATGCAGCCACAAGTCCAGATTTCCATTTTCCATCAACTCATAGACTAGAGCTTTGAATTCATCACCCTTGGAATCAATACTGGAGCAATAACGCACGACAGAAACGAGGTTTCTATGGCGAATATTTCTCAATGCTTTGCACTCCGCCTTAAAACTTTTCGAACCTCCATTCTTTCGAAGATCAAGAACTTTAACTGCTACAAGCTTGTTGCCATGTTTTTCTAGCCTTCCTTTGTAGACAGCTCCAAAATTTCCTGAACCAATTAAGTTTTCTGGAGAAAATCTAGAAGTTGCACGAAGAAGTTCATGGTAAGAAATTCGCAAGAGCTTATTGACTCTTGTAGGCATGCTAGAGAATCCTGTCACCATTCTTCTTTCTCTTTTTCGATGTACCAAGAAATATAACAACAATGCACCGAGAACCAGAAGCGTTGCTGGTAAAACAATGGACAGCAATATGACAACCTTCAGCTTTCCTCTGTTTTTCCCCTTGATCACTGGGCAAGGTGGGAACTCCAATTCTGGAATGCCTCCACAGAGTTTGTTAGGGCTGGCCCAGGAAATAGACAAACTAAAGTTAGCACAAATTAGGCGGTATAACCGACCATATAATAGATAGGCGGTAGATACCAGTCATATAATAATTAGGCGGTAAAACCGACCATATAAAGACGGATAACAAAGCAAATAAAAGACACAGAAGATTTACGTGGTTCGGTCAAATTGACCTACGTCCACGGACGAGGGAGGAGCAATATTTCTACTATGAAAAAGAAATACAAAAGACCGTAGGAAAGTGGTTCCTAGACCAATAGGCACTTACAAAAGAGTTTAGAAAATATTCCTAAACTCAAAACAAGAGAGCCTAAAATATTTGACTGAATGGGCTAAATGACTCAAGAAACTAATAGCCCATATTACTCTCTTGAGTGGTGCAATTAATTCCTTCATAAATCCCTTCTATTTATAGGCTCTCCAATGAAGCCTTCCTGCTGTCTGCTGCGATGTGGGATGAAAGGAAGAAAACTTCCTTACGTAGCATCTGATGTGGGACGAAGAATTTTGCCACACAAGGTCAAACCTTGCGGCACAACAGAGTTTGTTGTTGCCAGTCAATGATATTTGACTTGCAATACTGAAGACTCCAGTGTTCGGTATCTCACCCTCGATGTCGTTATAGGAAAGGTTTAAGTACCTCAAAAATTGAAGCTTCTCAAGTTCTTTGGGTATTAGACCAGTCAAGTTATTACTTGAAAGGTCTAATTGTTGGATGCTCTTCAAAGAAGCCAAATTTGGTGGAATTGTTCCTTGGAAAAAATTGGCATCCATATAAAGATTCTCCAGATCTGAACAGTCAGCAAGTGAGATGGGTATAGCTCCAGCAAGTTGGTTGTGGGAAACCGAGAAATTCACCATATGTACAAGCTTTCCAACTTCAGGAGGCAGAGAACCAGTGAAAGAATTTTCACTTAATCCCATAGCAATCAGTGATGAGTGCGTCTCCAGAAAATGTGGTGATATAAATCCAGTGAAGTTGTTTTGAGATATATCCAGAATTTGCAAATTTTGACAGTTCATAAGAACATTGTCAAATATATTGCCCCCTTCAAACTGGTTGGTCGACAAATACAGCTCGGATAGACCGGTGGCGTTGCATAGAGTAGAGACCATCTGTCCTGACAACTCATTTAGGCTTAGACTTAGAATTTGCAAATTTTGTAATTTGCCAAAATCTCTTGGAATGACCCCTGAAAGATAGTTTTCTTCAAGGCCAAGTCGAATTAGGTTGACAAAGTTTCCAAATCCTTGTGGAATGGTTCCTGACAGTTGATTTGTTCCCAGGTACAATTTAGTGAGTTGATTTGATAGATTGCCCATGACTTTAGGTATATTACCTCCAGAATTATTGTAACTCAATGAAAAAGCGCTTAGATCACTGCAGTTGGTCAATGATGCAATAAAATCTAAGTCTCCAGTTGAATTACCGCCGAAGAGGTTTACTTCAAGATTTAAAAATTGAAGATTTGTCAGATCTCCTAAATTAGTTGGAACTTGGCCTGCGAACTTATTGCTGGAAAGATCAAGTTCCTCAAGCCCAGAAGCATTGGTGATTGAAGTGGGAAAGTTTCCAGAGAAATTATCTCAAATAATCTGAAAAATCTGAAATGGAGAGCTTCCTTGAGTGTGGTACAACTTTTGTGCTCCCAAGTCAATCGTGAACAGTGTATCGCGCGTAGAGCTGCAAACGAGCCGAGTCGAGCTTTGAGCTAATCGAGCCGAGCCTCAACTAAATTTTACCAAGCTCGAGCTCGACGAGCCGGCAAATTTCGAGCTCGAGCTCGACTCGAATCAAGTCGAGCCGAGCTCGAGCTCGAGCTCGAGCTCAAAAAAAAATAAAAAATAATTATTTTATTTTTTAAAAAATAAATAAAATAATATTTTTTTCTTAATAAATAATAAAATATTAAGGATATATACATAATTTTACTCGAGCTAAAAAAAAAATAAAAAATAATTATTTTATTTTTAAAAAAATAAATAAAATAATATTTTTTTCTTAATAAATAATAAAATATTAAGGATATATACGTAATTTTACTATAAAAATAAAAAATAAAAAAATATATATATAATATACGTAATTTTATTATTAAATAAAAATAAAAAAAATATATATATATATATATACCCAAGCTCGCGAGTCGGCTCGCGAGCTAACGAGCTTAATATTCTGAGCTCGAGCTCGAGCTCGAGTTTGACTCGAGCCGCTCGCGAGCAGCTCGATTCGTTTGCAGCCCTAATCGCGCGCGCGTTTCGCGCCCGTTTCCTCTGAGGTTTGTTTTGACTGTGCACTAAACCTCTAATACACATATATTCATGTAATTATCATTCACTCTTAATGACCTCAAAATAAGGTTCTAAAGTCCTTCAAATAAATCGCGCGCGTAAAACGCGTATTTCCCACTTATGCGCGATAAGGTGATTTTTTTGAGAAATTCTTATAACGATGGCATTTCTAACTAATACATGGATATTTAGGCATAAAAATACCTATTTTAAGACTAGGGTATAAATCTCCCATTATTCGGGCTCATGAACTCTCAAGTCAGTTACTATTCCTGAGCCTACGGGCACTATTCACACTTAACAACTTTCAAGACTTGAATTGCGAACTAATTGCCTTAAAATTACTCATGAGCTATAATGCTATAGAATTGGGTCCAATAGGGCTAGAAAATAATATTCGAAATAATTAAACAATTAACTAATTAAATAACCTCAGAATGGGAATTTAAAAGAAATAAATTGCGAGTCCTCACATTCCTGATCTAACATTTCTCCAACTTAATTATACCTTTTTATAGCCTCTACATATACTATATTTCAACTTAGGACTAATTCGCGCGTCGGTGCGCGAAAATTCAACTTAGGGCTTTGCCAAACGCGAACCGTCAATTAAATCTTAAAAATTCAAATAAATTGAATTGTAACATTTGAATGATTGAAAACAATATTATTTAAATATAAATACATATTATTGGATAATTTTAATATTTTGATTTAATTTTCCAGAGGATAATAAAATTTTTGAGGTCCTCACATGATTAATTTTAGTTAAAATGCTAAGTTAACCGAATTATTTTGTTAATTTTGAGCATTCCGTCGAGAATGGTATTTAAGCAGGATGGAATTTACCGTTTAAAGAGTAAAGTGTAGTTTAAGGATGAAAAAGATAGTCGAAGTAAAGAGTGCAAAGTAGAATTAACACAAGTAAAAGTTAAAATAACGGTGTTATTTCAAACAAGTTGAAAATGAGATTGTTTAATGAACAAATTATTATTGGCATATAAATAAGCAGGTTTTTAGATACTTACAAAGTTTGATATTTAAATGGGTTATTATAACTTTATCCCCTTAAACTATATCATTACTATCAGTTTATCCCCTAACGTTATCTTTTAATTACTTTACCCCTATAAGTAATTCAACTCAATATGTTAAGAAATTTTGGACAAAAATACCTTTTTATTTTATAGCATTACTACATTGTTATTATCACTTTATTCGTTTATATTATAGTGATACAATAACTTTAGTTCCTAACATTATTTTCTATGCATTTTACTTCATCGTTAATCTAACTAGTATGGTAAAAAAATTTTAAATATATTTACCCTTTTTATATATAATTAAAAATAAAAAAGTTGGAATGGTTATTCGTCTTCTTTTTTTTACTTTAAGTGATCGAAAAACATAAAAATAAAAGGGTTTTCTCAAATTTTTTTCACACTTATTAATACTAGGAAAAGAAAAAGAGATAGAAAAAAAGAAGAAGAAAGAAAATTAGATTTTGCAAAGAAAGAAAATAAAAAAAAGTCTAACATTATCGTATTACATTAAGGTTGTCGGGATTAGAATTTGGTAGTAAACAGAAATGTGAAATAATTTTAAAATAATAAAAGTATTTAATTCTTTCTTATTTGTAATTTTTAAAAAAAGAATTGAACTCTCTCCCCCTCCCCCTCCCCCTCCCCCTCTCCATCTTTCTATTCTTTTTTGATATTAATAAAATTGCCAAGAAAAAAGAAATTAATACTTTGATTTTTTTTTTCTTACTACTAAAAAGGAGAATAGCCACTATAAATTTTTTATTATTTTTATTATGCAAATAGGAAGGTATTTTCTACTAAAGTTTTTTAATTTGCTAAGTTGGTTTAATGGTAGGATAAATTGCCTAAAAAATAACTCTAGAGGTAAATTGATAATGAGACTATAGTTTATGGGGGTAAAGTGATAATAATTTTAAGGGTTAAACATGTCTAATTAACAAACTCTGTTAAGTTTGACCGTTAGTTTTGGAGGTAAAGTGACTAAAAAATAACGTTAAATGGGAAATTGATAGTGGCACCAAACGTTAAGGGGGCAAAATGATAATAAACCCTATTTAAATTCAAAGTCAGACAACTTGGCATACCTCTAAACTCGTAAATGTACACGTTAATAGTGTAGAAAAGATTAAATACTTAATGATATTATACCTTCATGTAAGTTGGTATTTCACTTTGCTTCATTAACTAATTTTGTCAAAACATTCCCTCAAAAAAGAAAAGGAAAGTTTTGTCAAAACATTGCAGTTTGCCCCCTATACACTTTTTTGCTTTTCCTTTTTCCCTGCTAATGGAGTCTCTTATTACTATGATGGCAGAATGTTCCCAATTGATACCTTACCCAATTTGTGCTTCTCCCAAATTTTGACCCTAAGTTGGGCTGCCAGAGCCAGAGGACGCGACTTGCACATGGATAAATTATTCACTCAAAAATCCTTTTCCCTTCTGATTTTTTTTTTCTTGGCAGTTTCTCCAATTATTTAACATTTTATCTTTTTTTTTAATTTCTCCTTCCTCTTCACTTCCTTCTTTAACTTTTCTTTCAACCCGATATTGCCTAGGTTACTTACTAGGCCCTACTAACATTTTACGTTCAAAATCATCAAGATATGGCATAAAAGTATGAGCCCCACCATGACTAGATCCATAGCTTTAAGAGGCAAGGTGACTTAATTGAGCAATAGATGGATATGGTAATAAGGGAACATATGAATTTATTGTACAATTGATCCTCTCCTTTTATCCCCTTATGTTGTTCTCATTGTAACTGAAATTTCATATAGTAGCAAAATCAAAATTCAAAGAAAGTGGGAGCAAGACTATGCATTGTAAGTATAATGTATTGCATATTATTTAAGCACTAGATCCAAGCATAATATGGAAGCATTAAGATGTTCAAGCAGAACTGAGCCAATTGACTGCCTCCAAGATCACCTAATTCTAAGACTATAGGAATATGTTTGAATCATCCATTTATATTTTTATTTTCAAATAAAAAGCCAAAGGTGTCTTCTTCATTAGCTCACCCCATTAACAACTTCAGCTTGGAGATTCAGACCTGTAAGTAGCTGCAAATCAAGAATTCATGCATAAGTATGAGAAGCCATCTTTTTCCATGCTTGTAAGCACAACACATAGCTTTTGCCTTTTTTTTTTTTTGGTTTGGACTGGAATAGATTTTGACTGGTAGAACGAGTTAGCTTGCAAGCCTAGGTCAAGAATAAAATTCTTTACCTAATATAGAAAAAATGAACTTCAACTTGTGGGCTGTATTAAATTCTCGAGTATACCTGTGGCTATTAAACTTCAAGATTTTCTTGATGTACCCTGACACGAAGGAAAACATCCTTAATGAGATGTAATTTTCTGACAACTTCATTCATATGCATCCTGTCATTTGGTAATCTTGCAGAGCACTTGAGTCCAATTTTCAGCAGGGAAATAATGCAGTCAATCTCTCTTCCACCATTAATAGTTTCCCCCCCAGGAGTCATATTTCTGTTTTCATCTCCTTCAAGAAAAAGCAATGGATCCACGATCTCATAAACTAGTTCGTGCAACGCCCCATTAACATAGTTATGTAGATCAAGATCACCCACGAACATATCATCTGTTGGCCTTCTCCCTGTAATCATCTCTAGCAAAAGAATGCCGTAGCTGTAGACATCCCCTTGAGTTGATGCCGCAAGACCCATTCCATACTCTGAGATTTTGTTTCTAGACATGTTATTATTGGGTAGTAAAAGAAAAAACTATAAAAAAAAAAACTAAGTGATTAAAATTAATCAAATGTTAGATTGGGGCATAATGGACCTTCTTTTATAACAAAGTGACTTGACTAAAATTAGCTACTATGCATCAGTGATTAGAGATCTCCTGTAAATCTGAAAAAAAAAATTTAAAAGAATTAAATGTCCCAAAAGTTCTATATTTCTGTGCACAATTAAGTAACATCTTGACCATAAAAGGTAGTAAATTATAATTACCTGGAGCTGCATAACCGATTGATCCTTTTAAGGCAATAGTACTGCTGGTTCTTTGCTCGGAAGAAGTGTTGACGGGTTTTGGGAGAAGCCTTGCCAATCCAAAATCACCCACATGAGCAACAAGATCATTGTCAAGAAGAATGTTACTTGGTTTTAGATCACAGTGAACAATCTCAGCTTCGCAGTGGTCGTGAAGATATTGCAATGCTGAAGCCACATCAATTGCAATATTTAGCTTCTGAGAAAGATTAAGACTTCTTGAGCTTGTTGCCTGAGCAGTTGTCTCTGAAGGATGCAGCCACAGGTCCAGATTTCCATTTTCCATGAACTCATAGATTAGAGCTTTGAATTCATCACCCTTGGAATCAATACTGGAGCAATAACTCACGATAGAAACGAGGTTTCTGTGGCGAATATTTCTCAATGCTTTGCACTCGGCCTTAAAACTTTTCGAAGCTCCGTTCTTTTGAAGATCAAGAACTTTAACTGCTACAAGCTTGTTGCCATGTTTTTCTAGCCTTCCTTTGTAGACAGATCCAAAATTTCCTGAACCAATTAAGTTTTCTGGAGAAAATCCAGATGTTGCACGAAGAAGTTCATGGTAAGAAAGCCGTAAGAGCTCATCGATTCTAGGGGGCATGATAGAGAATCCAGCCACCAGTCTTCTTTCTCTTTTTCGATATACCAAGAAATATAACAACACTGTAACAAGGACCAGAAGCGTTGCCGGTAAAACAATGGACAGCAATATGACAACCTTCAGCTTTCCTCTGTTTTTCCCCTTAATCACTGGACAAGGTGGGAACTCCAATTCCGGAATGCCTCCACAGAGTTTGTTGTTGCCAATCAATGATATTTGACTTGCATTGCTGAAAATCCCTGTGTTTGGTACCTCTCCCTCGATGTTGTTGTAGGAAAGGTTTAAGTACCTTAAATATTGAAGCTTCTCAAGTTCTTTTGGTATTGATCCAGTCAAGTTATTACGTGAAAGGTCTAATTTCTGGATGCTCTTCCAAGAAGCCAAATTTGGTGGAATTGTTCCTTGGAAAAAATTGGCCTGCATGGAGAGATTCGCCAGATTTGAACAATCAGCAAGTGATATGGGTATATCTCCAGCAAATTGGTTGTGGGAAACATTGAAATCCACCAAATGTATAAGCTTTCCAACTTCAGGAGGTAGAGAACCACTAAATGAATTTTCACCTATTTTGATGTACATCAGTGATGATGAGTGCGTCTGCAAAAATTGTGGTGATATAATTCCAGTGAAGTTGTTATGAGATATATCCAGATATTGCAAATTTTGACAGCTCATAAGAACATTGTCAAATATATTGCCCCCTTCAAACTGGTTAAATGATAAGTTCAGATGGTATAGACGTGTGGCATTGCATAGGGTAGAGACTATCTGTCCTGACAACTCATTTTGGTATAGACTTAGAAGTTGCAAATTTTGTAATTTGCCAAAATCTCTTGGAATGACCCCTGAAAGATGGTTTTCTTCAAGGCCAAGGAGATATAGGCTGACAAAATTTCCAAATCCTTCTGGAATAGTTCCTGACAGTTGATTTCCCCCCAAGTACAATTGAGTGAGTTGATTTGAGAGATTGGACATGACTCTAGGTATATTACCTCCAAATTTATTGATACTCAGGGCAAGGATTCTTAGATTACTGCAGTTGGTCAGTGATCCAATAAAACCCAAGTCGCCTCTAGAATTACTGCCGAAGAGATTATCACTAAGAGATAAAACATTAAGTTGTGTCAGATCTCCTAAATTAGTTGGAATTTGGCCTGCAAACATATTTTGGTCGAGATCAAGTATCTGAAGCCCAGAAGCATTGGTGATTGAAGTTGGAAAGTTTCCAGAGAACTTGTTTTCCCCAACAGCTAATAGTTTCAGATTTGGTAGGGTGAGACCTATGTTGGTTGGGAGATTACCATAAAAGGAATTTTCGGGTGCTGAAATGGTAGTAATGGCTGAACTATTAAAGATAGAAGCAGGGATTGTACCAGAGAGTTTATTTTCTGCAATTCCTAATTTAGCTAACCTTTTTAAGAGCCCCATTTCCATGGGCAAATTTCCCTCCAGATTGTTAAAGCCAAGACTGAGTGCAGTCAATGATGATAAGTTACCAATGCAGGAGGGAATCTCTCCTGTAAAATTGTTTGCGTGAAGATAAAAAATTTCAAGCTTCTTCAAATTGCTCAGCTGATCAATCGGAATTTTCCCCTCTAGCTTGTTCATCTTTAGGTTAATAGTCGTCATCTCTAGGCAGTAGCTCAGGTTTGCTGGGATTTTTCCACTGATTGCGTTACTTGAGAGGTTCAAGACTCTCAGCCTGAAGAGGCGACCAAATTCTTGGGGAATCTCACCATGGAATTGATTCTCCTCAAGATGGATGAGCCTCATGAAGCTTAGATTTCCGACATGAGGAGATATGGTTCCAGACAACTGCTTATGCCTTAGAATCAAGGCTATGACCCTTTGATGTCGAGTACCACAAGTGACTCCTTCCCACTGGCAATGGTGCTGTGAGTAGCTCCAAGAATTCAGGACTCCAAACGGGTCATCATATATCTGCTTCTTGAATTCAAGCAGAGCAAGGCGATCGGTCTCATTTTGAAAATGTTTTGCAGCTGAAAAGTTCACGGCAACTGAGAGTAGGAGAAAAATGCCCGCTAATGTTGATGATGAGCGAAATCCCCACATGGTATTTGGAATTTGGATGAGCTGTGAAGGCAAAGATGGATTAATTTGCAACAAACTGATGATTGAATGATAAAAGTTTCTGCGGAATGGGAACAATAATGTTTGAGCTGTTATAGAATCGTGTGTATAGCCCACGCAATTGGAACTAATTTTCTTGGTATATTTCTGCGGAAAATGAGCTAAACCTCGTTGTCAGAACTTAATACAGAAATGGTCAGTAAGCTTCCACCAACTTGCAATTTACGCATATCGACCATGACTAATACTTTTCAAAGCTGGGATTAATGTGATCATCTACCAGATCGAGATGATGATTAACAGGAAGCCTTCATTTGTGTGGAGTATTTGATCTTCCCAATTAACACAAATCACAAGAATCTTGATATGCTAGAATCTGTCGGTTGGCTTAGGTGAGTTCTGTTTAATCTGTTCCCAAATTTTCCCCTTTTTATGTTGTTTTAATGCCATTTTCTCAAAAAAAAAAAAAATTTAATTTGTTTAAAAAGAAGGGTTTGTTTTTTATGTTATAATTTTTAGTTTTTTTCTTTTTTTTTTTTATGTTAACTTAATGTCATATGTGCATAATCAGACTGTCATCCTGAAGCTAATTTGCTTCATTTTAGAATGTGTGATAGACAAGAAAAAGTTTTTTTTTTTCCAAAACATGAGAGACAATTTGGTGGTCCCAAGATTTTTAATGAAACGGAAAAATACTTAGTGAAGACTATCATTTAAGGTAGCATGTACGGTCCGCAGCTGGGAAAATGGTTATTGGTCCTTTACGTATCAATTTGGAAAATGACCAATACACCAATTCGAAAAAATACACCAATACACCAATACCCTTGAGTCTGCTCAAGGGTGACAGTTTGCTCTGTTTGCTTTTTTTTTCTTTTTTTTTTTTTCAAGAAATCCACCTTGAGATGGTAGAAATTTTGCATGTAATCCTTCCAGTTTGCTGAGAAATAAATGAAAATAAAATGATTGAGCAAACATAAAAGCCTAATTTTCCACATTACATATCAAACACCAGGGGCCTTGGCTTAGCAACGAGACCAAGTCCCGATCACTTGTTCACGCTGCTATTTCTTCTACCTGTGCATTTACTTATCTATTTATGTTTTCTTGTTGTACATTCTTCTTATTTTTTCCTTTTAATTGAACAATAAAGTCCATGAAGCCAGTTAAAACTTAGAATTAATAACAAAGTTCTTTTCATTTTCATTTTTTTTGTTCATCAATAAATAGAGGGTCAGTTTGTAGTCAAAATCCTACTGTTTTAAATCTTGAAACATGCATTAATTATCCACTAAATCATAAGCTCATTCTCATTTAGCAAACAACTCCGCATTCTGCAGTAAACTCAAAGCAGAAAATTTTCCAAGTAATGTATCACTGCTAGACAGTTTTTTTTTTTCATCAGAATTTTGATGTATTTTTTAAAAAGGTTATGACCCTTTTCCCCGATGATGATGATGATGATGAAAATAATAATGGTAATAACCCCAGTGCACTGAAGCCAAACATAAGCCCCATTTGGTAAGTGAGTTTTTTGGGAATTTGTCTAAAATTTTACTGTAATTTACTGAAGAATTTATAGAAAAATTTTTTGAAGTGTGTAAAAATTTCTTTAAGAAAAGAAAAACTTTCCTCTTTTTTCTCCTTTCTTTCCTTTCCGCTTCTTCTCCCCCACGCCACCGCAATCTTTTTCTCCCTCCCACCTCACTAACTGCCCGTCCTTGCCAGCTACCAGCGGTAGAAACTTTCTTTTTCTCTCTCTCCATCCTACCTCTCCTTTTTTTTTCTTTTCCCCTTTCTTTCCTTTCCTCTTCTTCTCCCTCACTCCACTGCAATCTTCATCTCCCTCCCTCTATCTCCTCCTTCCCTTCTCCTCTCCCCTCTATCTCCTCCTTCCCTTCTCTACTTCCTTCCTCTCCCCTCTTTCCCTTCTCCTCCTTCCCCTCTATTTCCTCCACCCTCTCCTCCCCTCTGCCCCCGCCATCTCCTTCCCCCTCCCTTCCCCGATCATGACTAGATATGGCAACTGCTTATTCCTTAGAGTCAAGGCCGTTGTTAATAAACCCGAATCGACTCAACGATTGAACCGGTAGGTCCGGTGACCCGACCATTAGACCAACGGGGTCTCTAGTTTGATCGGACAAGAAATTGACCTGGTCAAACCCGATTGACCCGGTAGTTCAACCGGAAACCCAGCCAATTTTTCAATTGACCCGATTAACTTTTTTTTTTTTTTTTAATTATGGGTCTTTGTTTTTGAAACAAAATGTATATATGCTTTTGATAAGGTTTGTATACTGGATCTTCATTTAAATATATATAGACTTTACCACTTGTTTAGTTTTTATTTAACAACTAAATTTTTTTTAATAAACTTGTTTATTTTTTATTATACAATTAATCTTTTTAACTTTTAAACTGACAATATTTGATTAGTTAGAAAATTACTTTGTTTTTAAATAATAATAAAAAATAATGCTATATTATTGAAAAAAAACAATATAAATTTTGTTTTATACTTGACTATATTATTTATTTATTTAAAAGTATGATAAAGTGAAATTAAATCTTCTATTAATATCTATATATTTATTATATATCTTTCTAAGTATATCATTAGTATCTAAAAGTACTTTATTTTATGTATATTAAAATTACTATTTTATATTTATAAATGTTAAATTAATACTTACCGGTTCAAGTAGTTATCCCGTCCCTTTGCCGGATTTCTTATCAGGCCGGATTTAATAGCCACTCAAGGCTATGACCCTTTGATGTCGAGTACTACAGGTGACTCCTTCCCACTGGCAATGGTGTTGTGAGTGGTTCCGGGATTTCAGCACTCCAAACGGGTCATCATATATCTGATTCTTGAACTCAAGCAGAGCAAGACGATCAGTCTCATTTTGAAATTGTTTAGCAGCTGAAACATGGCTTACTGAAAAGTTCATGGCAACTCAGAGTACGAGAAATATGTTTGCTAATGTCGATGTGCGAAATCCCCACATGGTCCTTGTTGGGATCGGCTACAAACTGATGATTGAATGATAAAAGTTTCTGTGGATTGGGAACACGGTTGAGCAGTTAAAGATTAGAGCTTAATAAAGAAATGGTCAGAATTAAGCATATCGACCGTGATCCAATTCCTGGTACCGGTAGTTTTTCAAGCCACGAAAATTACTTGCAAAGCAGATCGGAAACAATTAGAAGATAAATTCCCAATGTTTTGCATTATGAATCATTCATTCGTTAACCCGACAAATTCTTATCAAAGCAAAAGCTATCTCTAGTGAATTTTTCATTGATATATTATTGATCCAAAGTAATTGTACATCTATAAATAAAATGATGGATTCTTATGATTTAACAAAAGGGAAAATTGATCGAAAAGCTTCTCATATTTTATTAAATAAATTTTGTCATTCCTGATTTTTAAATTATTGACCTTACATCGCTTACAAAATCTAAATCGATCAAATTTAGTCTCAATTGGATTCTCCGTAAATTATGATGCAGTATGAGAGATGATCAATAGTCTTCCCAGTTTGGCCCACAATTAAAATCAAATTTAACGGAAGATGGACTCTCAACTTAGTCTATCGTCATCCGAACCAATACCGATGGGGGCCATTCAGTGACTGGATTAATGAATCATAATTCAAGACCCATAAATGAAACTAAAAATTTTCCACACGAGTGATTATGAACCCCCTAGGGCTCTTTGCCAAGGGCCCAGTTAGCAGACTTATTAAATTGGGCAAACTGTACTAATACCGGCTGAACCTTTTGAAAAAATTTCTTATTTTGTTCGCTTGATTTTTTTTTCCCCAATTCCATTTGATCATTTAGCTTAGCTTAGATGCCTCGTCTTTCCCATTCGTCTAATTTCTGCCTTTATCTCACTGATTAAAAGTTCCCAGATTTAATATGGTATCTACTCCAGAGACATTTTCATCTATTGTTTTCGTCTGTTTAGATCTAGAAATGAGACATACTGATAAGATATGGGTATTAAGTATCGGATTAATAGATGAAATTGGATGAAATGGGCAAAATATGATATTTACTATTAGGGTTTTTCTAACGGACGCCTTAAGGTACTCGATAACACATTTAATATTCACCTAACCTATCATATATATATACACACATATATACACGTATACTAACAATCATTATCCTCCATTGCATTTATATACTTTCTCTATTTAATTTGGCTTACCATCCCTTGTATTTATTTACTTTTTCTAATTAACACCTGAAATATTGTTTAACGATGCCCTATAAAACAAACTGTTACTATTATTGTATAACCTATTTGAGACACCCCCAACAAAATAGGAATACAAATAAAAAAGGTTAGTACATTTAGACTGATTATGCAGGTGATGATGCATATGATTATCATGTCTTTTAATACTAAATGAAGTTTTTTTTTTTTTTTTTTTATGACCACCATGGCCATCGATAACTTGATCGGGCAATGTATGGATATGCTAGCAAGGGAACATATGGGCTTTTTGTGCAATTGATTCCTGTCCTCTACCCCTTTATGTCGTTCTCATTGTGACTAAGGCTCCGTTTGATAACACTGAATCTGAATTCTGAATTCTGAATTCTGAATACTGAAATAATTAATTTGCTGAATTTTAAGCACTGAAAAGATATATATGAATGTCTGAATCTTAATGCTGAATCTATTTATACTGTTTGATAAATATTCATAACTTAATGCTTAATAAGCTAAATTGTACAATTTTGTCCTTCTATCTTTTAATTCAAAAAGGAAATAGAACCTATGATTTAATTAATTTAAAATTGTTAGGTATGAAAATGACAATGATTGTGAAGAGCAATTCATACAATGACAATGTTTCTTTGTGTGGGAAAAGGGTATGATTTCATCGTTTTGAAAATGGGAAAATGAGCTTTTAATACTCCAAAAGCACGTTCAATTACATTTCTCAATCTTGCATGTGCTTGGTTAAAGCGTTCTTCTTTTGATCTTGGACGATAAGCATTTCGAAAATCAGACAACCAATATCTAATATTTCGATATGGTGTCATAAAGCCACGTGTGTGGATAAGCTGCATCACATAAATAATATTTATCTGCACAAAAAAATATCAAAATATAAATGTTTGTGGATGAAAATTACTGCAAAAAAATACTACTATTGTTAAAAAAAATTTTTGAATAGAGAATATCAGGTTGTTTTGTTTAATTAGATAAGGATTTTGAATAGGGAATATTAGGTTGTTTAATTAAATAAGGATTTTGAATGTAATTAACAAATAGGGATATATTTGGTAGATAAGATAAAGCAGTTGAAGTAAATCTCTTGATTCTTATCAAATTAAGCATTCAGCTACGATTCTTGTGCTGAAAAAAATACATACAAATTCAGCACCACTTAATAAGTTCAGCAAGTGAATTTTTATTTATCAAACACTCATAACATCTGAATGTCTGAATGAATTCAGTTTCAGCACTTTTTTATGTTATCAAACAGGCACTAAGATTTCATGTGGTAGCAAAATCAACATTCAAAGAAAGGCATGCTAATGTAAATCAATCATAGGAGCAAGAGCATGCCCTGTAATTAAGTACTGTACGATTTATTGTATAATGTTTATTATGGAAACATAAGATTCAAAACATTCAGTTCCTATAAAGAAAGAGCATACCACATGAACAGCTATCAGTTCAGTTCATATTTGAGTCGTCCATTTAATTTTTTAAATAAGAGAGCCAAAGGTGTCTTCTTTAGCTGCTCACACAGCTATCAACTTCAGCTCAGAGATTCAGACCAACAAACAGCTGCAAATCCAGATACATCTTTTTCCACGCTAGTGAGCACAACACATAATTCCTTTTTTTTTTCTTTTTCTTTTGGCTAAAATAGATTCTGAATGGTAGAAGTGAGTTAGCTTGCAAGACTGGTCAAGAAAAAATCGTTTATCTAAAATAGAAAAACTGAACCTCAATTTGTGACTGTATTAAATTCTCATATATACCAGTTGCTATTAAACTTCAAGATTTTCCTGAGCTACCCTGACACCAAGAAAAACACCCTTAATGAGATGTAATTCGCTGACAACTTCATTCATGTGCATCCGATCATTTGGCAATCTTTGTGAGCATTTGAGGCCGAGTTCCAACAGGGAAATAACACACTCCATCTCTCTTCCACCATTGATCATTCTTCTGTTTCCATCTCCTGCTTTACAAAGAATCAAGGGGTCCACGATCTCACAAACTTGTTCAGACAGAGCTCTATTAACATAGTTATGCAGATCTAGCTCATCCATAAACATATCATCCGTTGGCCTCCTCCTAGTGATCATCTCTAGCAAGAGAATCCCATAACTGTAGACATCCCCAAGAGTTGATGCCGCAAGACCCATTCCGTATTCTGAACTTTGTACAAGAAAATCTTTAAAAAATAGGGAAAATTATCTAAGGGAGATAATTGGATCAATTGTTTAGACATATAATTTAGGGAAGGGGTGGGTTGGGCTGAACCTCCTACTTATAATAATTAAAACAAAACCTATAATTTGAGAGTTTGATTAGTCTGCACACAATTAAGTAAAATCTTGACAACAAAAATTTGCATTACCTGTGGCTGCGTAACCGATTGTTCCTTTTATAGCAATGGTACTGCTACCTTCTTGCTCGGAAGATCTGTTGACGGGTTTCGGGAGAAGCCTTGCCAATCCAAAATCACCCACATGTGCAACAAGATCACTGTCAAGAAGAATGTTACTTGGTTTTAGATCACAATGAACAATCTCTGCTTCACAGTGGTTGTGAAGATACTGCAATGCTGAAGCCACATCAATTGCAATGTTCAGCTTCTGAGAAAGATTAAGGCTTCTTGAGCTTGTTGGTTTATCAGTTGTCTCTGGATGCAGCCACAGGTCCAGATTTCCATTTTCCATAAACTCATAGACTAGAGCTTTGAATTCATCATCCTTGGAATCAATACTGGAGCAATAACTCACGATAGAGACAATGTTTCTATGGCGAATATTTCTCAATGCTTTGCACTCGGCCTTAAAACTTGTGGAAGCCCCATTCTTTCGAAGATCAAGAACTTTGACTGCTACAAGCATATTGCCATGTTTATCTAGCCTTCCTTTGTAGACAGCTCCAAAATTTCCTGAACCAATTAAGTTTTCTGGAGAAAATCCTGAAGTTGCACGATGAAGTTCATGGTAAGAAATTCGCAAAAGCTCATCGATTCTTGGGGGCATGCTAGAGAATCCGGCCACCGGTCTTCTTTCTCTTTTTCGATATACCAAGAAATATAACACTGTCACAAGAACCAGAAGCGTTGCCGGTAAAAGAATGGACAGCAATATGACAACCTTCAGCTTTCCTCTGTTTTTCCCCTTAATCACTGGGCAAGGAGGGAACTCCAATTCTGGAATGCCTCCACAGAGTTTGTTGTTGCCAATCAATGATATCTGCCTTGCATTGCTGAAAATCCCTGTGTTTGGTATCTCGCCCTCGATGTCGTTGTAGGAAAGGTTTAAGTACCTCAAATATTGAAGCTTCTCAAGGTCCTTTGGTGTTGGACCAGTCAAGTTATTACTTGAAAGGTCTAATTGCTGGATGCTCTTCCAAGAAGCCAAATTTGGTGGAATTGTTCCTTGGAAAAAATTGGATTGCATATAAAGATTCTCCAGATCTGTACAATCAGCAAGTGATATGGGTATATCTCCAGCAAATTGGTTGTGGGAAACATTGAAATCCACCAAATGTATAAGCTTTCCAACTTCCGGAGGCAGAGATCCACTAAACGAATTCTCACCTATTTTCATGTACATCAGTGATGAGTGCGTCTGCAGAAAATGTGCTGAAATAATTCCAGTGAAGTTGTTTTGAGATATATCCAGATATTGCAAATTTTGACAGTTCATAAGAACATTGTCAAATATATTGCCCCCTTCAAACTGGTTAAATGATAAGTCCAGATAGAATAGATTGGTGTTGTTGCATAGGGTAGAGACTATCTGTCCTGACAAGTCATTATGGTCCAGACGCAATCCTTGCAAATTTGGTAACTTGCCAAAATCTCTTGGAATAATCCCTGAAAAAGAGTTCACTTCAAGGCCAAGTTGAATTAGGTTGACAAAGTTTCCAAATCCTTGTGGAATGGTTCCTGACAGTTGGTTTCCTCCCACGAGCAATTCAGTGAGTTGATTTGAGAGATTGGCCATGATTTTAGGTACATTACCTCCAAGTTTATTGCCACTCAAGGAAAGAATTCTTAGATTACTGCAGTTGGTCAGTGATGCAATAAAATCCAAATCTCCTGTAGAATTATTGCCGAAGAGATTGTGATAAAGATTAACACTTTTGAGTTGTGTCAGATTTCCTAAATTAGCTGGAACTTGGCCTTCAAACTTATTGCGGGAAAGATCGAGTACCTCAAGCCCAGAAGCATTGGTGATTGAAATTGGAAAGTTTCCCCCAACACCTAATTCTTCCAGATTTGGTAAGGTGAGACCTATGTTGGTTGGGAGATTGCCATGAAAGGAATTGCCGGCCACTGAAATGACAGTAATGGCTGAACTATTAAAGATGGAGGCAGGGATTATACCAGATAGTTTATTTTCTGCAGCTGAAAATATAGATAACCTTTTTAAGAGCCCCATTTCCATGGGCAAATTTCCCTCCAGATTGTTAAAGGCAAGACTGAGTGTAGTCAGCGATGATAAGTTCCCAATGGAGGAGGGAATCTCTCCTGTCAAATTGTTTGCGTGAAGATAAAAATTTTCAAGCTTCTTCAAATTGCTCAGCTGATCAATCGGAATTTTCCCTTCTAGCTTGTTCTCGATTAGGCTAATGGTTAGCAACTCTGAGCAGTAGTTCAAGTTTGCCGGGATTTTTCCACTGATTGCGTTACTTGAGAGGTTCAAGGCTCTCAGCCTGAAGAGGCGACCGAATTCTTGGGGAATCTCACCATGGAATTGACTCTCCCCAAGTTCCATAAACCTCATGAAGCTTAGATTTCCGACATGAGGAGATATGGTTCCAGACAACTGCTTATCCCTTAGAGTCAAGTACTGCAGGTGACTCCTTCCCACTGACAATGGTGTTGTGAATGGTTCCAAGAATTCAGGACTCCAAACGGGTCATCATATATCTGCTTCTTGAATTCAAGCAGAGCAAGGCGATCGGTCTCATTTTGAAATTGTTTAGAAGCTGAAACATGGCTTACTGAAAAGATCATGGCAACTAAGAGAAGGAGAAATATGTTTGCTAATGTTGATGATGAGCGAAATCCCCACATGGTATTGGGAACTTCCATGAGCTGTTGGATGCGAAGATGGATTAATTTGCAACAAATTGATGATTGAATGATAAAAGTTTCTGCGGAATGGGAACAATGTTTCTGCGGAATGGAATGGGTAGTTCTGCTTATATTAGCCCAAACAACTGGAACGAAATAATTTCTTGGTATATTTTCGAGTAAAATGAGCTAAACTTCGTTTTGAGAACTTAATGCAGAAATGGTCAGCGAGCTTCCACCAACTTACAATTTAGTAACCTAATAAAACAAACACGCAAGATGATTATTGGTCCTTTACGTATCAACGACCATCAATTTGGAAAATGGCCTAGACAGCGACTTTATAGAAATCAAATGCGCTTCTATTTCTAAATTCTAGCGTGCATTTTTCAGTCAATCTGCCTAGGGGAGTCAGTTGCTCTGCTCTAAGTCTACACAAACATACAAAACTGAGCACAAATAATTTATCTGAGGTTGGAGAAAATGTATTCTTTTTTCTTGACCTAAACAATAAAAGTATTCTCTTTGTCTTAGTTAGTTATATTTTTATTCCTTTTTCCTCATCTTCTAATTGACAACCAACCTAATGTCTTCTCTCAACTTACACTTCTTTGTGTGTTTTACGAGATGTCAACCACAATTTTTGCGATGACTAGTCAGCGGCGGATTTGTATGTAGGGGCATGGAGCACCGAATTCCATTAGTATAGCCTTCAATTTTAGTAATTTTTTCGCTTTGCCCCCCAATAAATTTTCCTCAAAAGTGAATGCACCGCTCCAAAATCAAATGACTAGGTTTGCAATTTGATGGAATTGGAATACTAAACAATTCAAAATCAAATGCTTTTTACTCTAATCATTTGGTTTCCTTGAAAGTCATTTTAATTTACTACTCATTAATTAAATACTTTCTTTGGACTTTTTCCAATAAAATAAATATGGAATTAAGTAATCCTTTGTGAAATGAACAATAAAGAGAAAGCAATATTTTCCAATACAGCATACTTAACAATATCGTAGGCAAACGAGCAGATTAAAAATGTTTAGCATGCTTTTTTAAAAGAAAATGATTATTTTATTAGTAAGTTTTAGCATGTCATTTTGGGTTATATTAATCATGATATGCATGTATTACATTTACTTGTTATACAAATGCTATTGTTATGGCTTTCAGAAAAAAAAAAAAAAGAAGAAACTTTAATATTAATTTTGCTTCTGCTAGAAATTATTTCTGGCTCTGCGCTGTGACTAGAGGTGGCAAATCAACCCACTTAACTAAATTTACCCATACCCGTCCGTGAATAGATGGGTATGGGTATCTTAAATTTTTGTATATGGGTATAAATGGGTTACCCAATAATACTCATTTATTAAATGGGTATTATTGAGTAACCCATCAAACCCAATTAACCCATTTAGAATTCTCTTCCCCCCAAGTCTCTTCTTTACCCCCACCTTTTTTGTTTCAAATTTTTTATTTTGTCATGATGTTAACTACTTTTGTTTCATTATTATTATTATTATTATTATTATTATTATTATTATTATTATTATTATTATTTGTTGGTTTTATCTTATTATTTTATTTTCTCTTAGTTTGTTAACTTGCTCATTTTTTAGCATTACCAATTTATGATAAATTTTAGCCTATTTTCTTATCTTTATAAAATGAAATTTTAAATTTATATATGAAAAAAATGTTAGGGGTTCAAAATTTTTGGATTAAGTTTTTATATTAATTTTTATAGTATTTAGTTCAAATTTTTATATTCTTATTATTCAATTATTAAATAATAGGTAATTTTGTGACAGAGTATAAATGAAAAAAAATTGGTAATTAAGTTTATTGAACATTATAAGTAAATATTTAAAACTAATAATGGGTACAAAAAGTTGTGTAAATTGATAACTTAGTTTGCAAAAATGAATTTAAATTAGTTTACAAAAAGTTAAAATAAATGGATTATAAATGGGTAATTGGGTTATCCAATTCATTTTTTGACTTACCCATTTATACCCATCTAATTAAATAGGTATAAATGAGTTGACTCACTTATACCCATTACCCATTTTACCCAACCCAAACCCGCCCAAGTCACCCATTTTGACACCTCTAGCTGTGACCGGTGTAAAGGTTTCCATTAGCATGTTCGTATCTCAGAAAACTTTTTCTATGAGAAACATTATTTCCAAAAGCTAAACAGTAAAATTAATAGAATGGAAAAATCGTCCAACAGATCAAATTTGGTTCAAAGTTTTATGCATGATTAAGTTTCTTTCTTATTTATTCTTAGGTAAGTTATACTTTATCATCTTGTGTATCAGAGCCTTTGCACATAATCCCTTCGTGATTAAACTAAAGTGTCAAGCGATAGGAGATAACGTTCAAACTATAGAATCTCACCTCAAACAAAGACCCTAGGAAGTAATTGGATCTACCATTGTTTTTGGTATAAAAGTTCCTATAAAATTGGGAAATGCCTATAATGGATTAACTGAAATGTCAAGATTACCCTCGTTTCAAAGCTAAAATGACTGGAATGGCAAAAATATATACAAATGTAGTATGCATTACACTTTAGCCCCTATAATTTAGCATTTTTGCAAATAACCCTCTTACGATTTTCTAATCTATGTATAACCCTCATCATGTGGTTAATAAATAATTTCCATCTTGACATTGGAATAATTCTAATATTTTAATCAACTTTGCCACAAAGGAAAAATGTGAGGAAACCATATTTTTAATCAACTCTTAAAACCATAGGAGAGCTAAGTGATAGCTCAATCCCACACCATAAAGTTAAGACATGTC